GAACATGTCTTTCAACAAAAAACTGTGGATTCCTCCTTTCACCACGTCGCCTTCTAACCCTGGCACGACCATCGTGCATGCCTAAACAAAATCGAGACTCGTCACTAAAGACAATACTGTTCCATTCCTGATCCCAGAGTGACTGTTGTCTGCACCACTCAAGGCGATTACGTCGGTGTAAGGGTTAGAAGGCGACGTGGTGAAAGGAGGAATCCACAACTCAGATTATACAGGGTGTTTTCAAAGTTGAGTCACTTATTTTAACTGCTTGTAGGACTCGTTAAAAGAAGTTGATATACGAAAGATCACCTATATAAAAGTTGCATAATAAGAGACTTAGTTTACATTATTATAAACTATTTGAAAAATCATTATAATATTTTTCACTCAATTTAGACAGATAATAAACAGTATGAGTAAATAAATATAAAATCAATAATAAAATGCGTTTTATTTTTCTGGCGACGATTCAGCTATTCTTACTCCCTAACCAAGGCGCCAATTGTTTACATACGTCTTTAATAAATTCAATAACTGATGATAATTTTTTTAAAAACAACAAGATTACATTTATATAGACAGGACGTCATTAAGTTTGAGCTCCTTGATTTGTCCTTTAAATCTACTGAGTCAAGTTAAAAGGATACCGTTTTTACAAAAGCTGTTCAAAATTGTTCCCATTTGTTCGAATAACGAAAAATCTTGCTCGGCGAATCCGCGACTCTTTATAAGCTTCGAAAATAAAATCCTGGTATCCACGAATTAAATCACAAGGATTTTCAGTGTGCTGTTGAAGTTCTTCCAGAGTATTTACTGCTCCATCTTGATACACCAACTCTTTCAAATAGCAATAGCCCCACAGAAAAAAATCGCAAGGCGTTAGATCCGGAGAGTGAGCAGCCATCATGTAGGAACTACATATTCCGTCTCACATTTAGAGGAACATCTTCTAATAATTGTGGCAGACTGTGTCGAAGAAAATCTAAATAAATGTCACTGATGAGTCGAGGTGGGAAAAAGTAGGGTCCAATAAGCATGTCAGGCCAAATATTTAAAGAAAACCTATGATGAAAATGAGTTCCTTTTACAGCATGCGGACTTTCTACTGCACAAACCTGATTGTTGTGAAAATTGTGCACTCCATTTCGCCTAAATGTCGCCTCGTCTGTATACAAAATTAATTTCGTAAAATCATTTCTGCCGATCTGGCAAAATGCAACTCTTTTAGGATTATCTTGTACCCGCCGACAATGATACTGTATAACAAGACAATAACACAATAGGTTTACACGGCAGTGACCGATAATATCAAAAAATCTGTGTAATAACATTATTTTTTTGAAAATTTTTTTGTCCTGCAAGCAGTTAAAACAAATGACTCAGCTTTGAAAACACCCTGTATTGATCCAAAACATTGTTATGATTCCGAGATTTGAATCTCTCATTTCCTTTATTATGTAGCAGTTACATTAATTTTAATTGAATAACAATGTGCATAATCTATTTTCAGTACCGGACTACTTGCGTGTTATGATGTACCTACCTATTTACTGGGACTGTTAAACAATAAAATATGACATACTAAAAATAAAACAACGCTGTACACGCGAGCTAAATATTTTTAATACTCAGAACAGACAGTAGCCGTTTTAAACAGGATGCTCGTTTTCTTCATTGAAATTCATCATATTCACTTATACACTTTAATTGGTAGTAATTACCAAAAATATAAATTGTCTGAACTCTTTCCTTTTGTCAAATATCTGGTGCCGTGTAATAAAAATGTTGTCAACATTAATTTTAATTCCAGTTTATTATTTCGTACAGGGCAAGTTCGAATATACACATTTGTTCACGGATATTCTTGGCTAGATTCGATTTACTAGAAGGCTAGAAGACCGTTATTTTTTCTATCATTAGTAAATGACATCTTTGTAGATTTGTATAAAAGTAACCTACAACCACACTGACGTAAACGTTGGCGTCTGAGTGACTGTGAAGACACAGGATCAATTAATATTATATGAGGGGTACAAGCAAAAATATGGTAACTACCAAAAAAATATTTTTATTGACGCGGGGTGAGGTAATTTCAGAAAGTCACAAAAGGGAAAATACAATTCCTTTCGTGTATATATTTTGCAGGTGAGTAGGGAATACCTCACCAATGAATATATTTGTAAAGTTAGCATAAATTATTGAAGTGAACATATTTCTAGATAGATAGATATTTCACTCGTCCACAGATCATGTTTTTGCAAGATATAGCAGGGGCTATATAATAATAAGCTCTGTAGTACACATTTATTGTACATACTTGGAAAACAAAAAACAAGACATACGCATGTCGTTTTAAAAAACCTCGGGATAAGCACTCAAAATATATAAAACTGTGAAGACAAACGAATTAAATTTGTTAAATAAAAGGTGCATACCTAATTTCCTTCTTCCGAGATACATTTATCTGGTAAGTAAATAGTCAAAGGACGGTTACGGATAAGATTCTCTATTCAGTATGTAGGAATCGGAGGCCACCTAAGGGAATTCATGGTTCAGATAGGAGATTTTAGGGTAGGAGCTAGTCCAAGGAGATTTTTGTACCACTGTGAGATCTGAAGAGCTTCGAGACAATCAAAGGAAACTGAGGTGAACCAAGAAGATCTGGCGGAGTTTCTACTGCTGCGAATTATTGCTAATTATATTGAATTTCCAAAAGATTTTATCAAATCCTGCCACTGCTACTAAAGAGAGTTAGGCCTATTTATAGAAAGGAACTTCTCCCATATTACCAGTTCTGATTTAGAATAAAGCATTCTACTATCGTTCAAACGCAATGCATACCAGACGGAATTTAGTCTGCGGGGGGAAGAATTTTGCAATTCAGCATTCCTAAGCGTTGTACCTCCTAGAAAGTACGCCGAGGTTATTAAGTCATATATCTCACACTTCCAAGTTGAATAGGCATTAGAAAGGACAAAAGAATTAAAGATTCTAGCACTACTTATGAGACAGCAGAGTCAGTAGCTCTCTAAATTCATTTTGTGTACTGATATTTTATCATATACCTTCCAGATTTCTTTTTGAACGCCGGAATCCCTATCACATATATAGAAAAGTGTGGATGTCTGTTACTCAGTCACGCCAAAATCGCTGAACAGATCTGGATGAGATTTGGCGCAGAGATAGACTATAGCCTGGAATAGTACATAGGCTGCGTTTTATCCCGAAACATAAATTTGAAATATCTATTTCAAGGGCTACAAAAACGGCTTAATGAAATTCGATACGAAGCGTATATATAGGGCATTAATTTGCTCCGTGTGGTTATTGCATTTCAACATTCGTTTTCTTAGTATGATCGTCTTGATTTAGATTTAGATGTTTGGTGTTTTGTTCCACTTGAAGGATGATACTGCGAATGAATAGTTATTGGGTTTTGTCATAAAGCCTTTAATGCTGCTAATTGGGTAAGGTAAATTCGTCTAGCAAACTCTAATGCTGTTTGTTCCGGTATCTTCTTGTTCTTCTCTATATCAGTCGTCTAAATGCAAAACCCGACAAGTTCATTTAAAGGAATTTTAGGGAAATCGCAAAAAACGTTTATAACGTCTATTTGTCTTAACAGAAACCAGCAAATTGAAACAAAATTTTATCAAAAAAAATGTGTAACGAAAAACTGGTTCCCAAACATATGTTATAATCAATAATTACTTAAATTAAGATTAAAGTTTGGACTTGTCGGGTTTTGCATATAAAACATGGTGACTTGTCGGGTTTTGGTTATTAACTTTGGCTAAAACAAGGCGAAGTGGCAAAACACGAACAAACTTTTGGATTATTTTATTACAAAGTAGTATTAAGAAAATGCACATTCCAAACAACATTTGTGTTTTCTAAAGATCAAAATCTAAAGTTTCTTCTAAACAAAACAACTCTGTATTGGCCTCATTACCATCTCGTGAGGTTGAAGTGGATGGAAGAGGAAGTTCATCGAAGGCACTTTTGAAAAATGATAAGGCTTCGCATCATTTCGCCAATTATTTCCGTAATGTTTTGCAATCAAATTACTGATACTCTTCTTCTTATCCGATTTCAATGGCATTCCAATGTCTACAGTGCTTGGTTTGATATCCAACTTTCTTCCTCTCTGGGATGTTGGTTTCATAACTATCTGAACTTTTGACTTCCAGTCCTGTACAGGAACATCAACTCCCAACTTGTAGATGCTTCCCCACTTCTCTATTACTTTCATGTATTGTTCTGGACTTGTAATTTCAGGTAACTTTTTAATAACCTTCTCAATTTGTCCAAATAGCCTATCTGGTGGAATATAGGAATGCCCCACAACCGGAAAAAATATTTCAATTTTGTCTATGTTGGGGGTACTGCACTTTAATAACCACTGGGATAACATCCCAATGACGATGGAGTTCTTATTTTGCGCACCCCAACCATCACAAAAAAGGCGAACGACTTTAGTAGATTCGCTAAATTTAAATGTGCTGAGAGTATGATATAATGCTGATGCTATTTCATTGGATCCCCTTTGATGATCTAGTTCAGTCCATACATAGGAATTGACTGAAGTTGGACTTATTTTTCCTTTAGAAGTCCTCTGTACAATTGCAAAGTGATAAAAGTTTAGCTGCATACTGAAGTAGGCTGCTTGATCTGCGATTTTTGGCAGAGCCAGGTTTTTTTGACAATCAAAGCTGAATGTAACAACCTCATTGTCAGCATGGACTTCTTTCAAAAGCTCATAGAAGCACTTTGCTCGGATTTTGTGAGCTCGCTGTTGAGCCATTAATCGATTCTTTGTGTTGATATCTAATGACTTTTTTATTTGGCCTTGAAACTGCAGGCATGTTGAACACATGTCGGTTTTAGGAGTACCAAAGCCAACATTGTATTTTCTGGTGAAAAATTATCTGAAAAATGACTCCTTAACCTGAAGATCTTTGTCCACGGTATTGTTAAACATTCTCCAAAGTTTCCTGAAGGCAAATAAATTCTACTGAATGTCTTAGATCGGCAATAATGAGACTCTATGCACTTCAGTGATTCAACAAACTCTTTTATAGCCGCTAGCTTTGTGTTATTTTTACCTTTTGTCTGATCACCTCCACGTCGTTCTTTGGGCATTTCATTGCTTTCCTTGTACCGTTTTACTACATTCACAATCCTGTCTTTCTTCACTCCCAGAATGTTCATGAAACTCTGTCTGCACACATTAACCATTAGCCCATCTCTTCTTTTCACATAGTATATCACTGACATAGATTTCGGCTTATTTTTTTCTTGTTCTCATTTTCTTGATCTTTTGGGATCAGTAACGCTGCAGTGCTTCAATATAAAATTGTCCTGGGTGACTTTCTCTGATGTTTTGTAAAATGAGTCATAAAAAATTTTTATTTCTCTCATGGTCAGCAGTGATATACATTGAAAGGGCTGGTACGGCTTAGCTACATGCCCACATTTTGGAAATGTTGGCAATAATTTTGCAGAATATCTAGAAAAATACATACAAATAAATTACTATTGCTACCGTGTAACAAGTATCTATTAGCTTACCTGTTGCGTTTTGCATTTTCCCGCTTAGACGGCGTTTTAACTTTCTTTCGAGATCTATTACCTTCCGATGGTAGTATATTATATTTTTCGCAATGCAATTCACTCATATTTTAGGCTAAAATACCATCAAACTAGATCGCACAACCTTAATCATTCGAGACTCAACGCAAAATAAACATGTGCATGCAAGTCAGGGCGACAAACCTCGATTGCAACACGTGATTGACCAAACACGAATTTCATTGGTCGACATGGACATGTCGGTATTTGAATTGAAACGACGCGTGGACATGTCGGCTTTTGCATTTCAAGGGAATTTTCTGTATTAAAAATAGCGTGTTTCGCCCTAAAAATATTGCATAGTTTGTAGCCCTTTAGATAAAGAATTCAATGGTGTATAAAACTGAAATTCCAAAATGCTGTGACTTGTCGGGTTTTGCATTTAGACGACTGATATATAAATGTGATTGTCCACCCTTTCTGTCAGCATCACGTCTGAACCACAATACGAAGAGACGTAAAAGACATTGTAATCAAAATCTCCACGGCCAGCCATCGCTCCACTCAACCTGCGATACAGACGTTTGCAGCAGATGTTACCCGCGACTTCAAATGCTTGAACCTATTATTACTTACGATCACGTTTTGTATTTCTGGTGACATTAGTAAATTGGGAGACAACTTGTATGCTTTGGAAATTTGGTAACTACGCTGGGACAGAAAGTTAGACAGTATCTTCAGATAGAATTCGTTAATCAATAGTTATATACAACGCTTTGGAAACTTCTGAACCTGTCACATTCTACTCAACAACTTTCTCAGCTCAAGCCGGACTCGGATTCGTGCCACCAGCAGCAAGCAACACCAGGTACCGCCAAACATCCTCCGATCAAAAAAGGGAACATCAGCCGGTCCGTATCGGCGGGTCCGTCGAAGGTTTACGACCCAATATTAACTGTCTCCTCCAATAATTTATGTTAATGGTGTTGGGAGCCCCGAGTGCCCGAGCCCGGTTGCTCGTTCATCCAACGGCCGCCGTCGCTCAAACGGTGCGCCGTGGCGCTGCAGGCAACCCGCAATTCGCGCGCCGACAGTTGCTTTGGGAACATTGTGTAGTGCAGTGCCACACCACGATCCCACCAATTCTTCAGCGATTTCTTGGTAACTAGGGTGGTATTTGTGACCGAGAGAGGTTGTGCCGATTCGCCGCAGGATTCTCATAGATTTTCGGTAAGTACTGTCCATAAAAAATAGGTTCAGACGCGCTACCGCACGCCGCGCCGGGCTTTTCCTCTAACCCTAAGTCTAACGGTTTTACTGTGAGAGCTTTGGAAGTATTTCATAGTTTCATTTTTATGCATAATGCGTTTCGCAATCAAAAGCGTCACATTTTAAAAGTGATATAGCTTATTCAACCTTATGATGCTACCAGGTAGGTAAGGATATCTTAAGTAGCAATAGTTTGATAATTTGAATTATTCATAAAAATTTAATAATATACCTACCGTCCGTTTAATATTTTTCTGTATTTTGTACATGGCATAAAGGAAACAATGTCTCTTTGGCACAAGCTTTATGGCCAGAGGATCTTACACACTCCTATGATATAAATTTCATTGAAAAATTTAATGTCGTGGAACAAGTGCATACTCCTCAAAATCGTAACGGTTTTACTACGTTTTTACGCAAAGCAAAGCGCTGGAATCTCGCAGTTTTTTGCTGTAAGCATAATAAGCGCTTGTACTTCCATTTTAAAAGCCGTTGTACTCAACAATTAAAGGAAGTAGCCGACTTTGTTACTCAATATATATTACGCTAGTTACGTCCAACATAACCAGTCTCATACACCTCATTAAACCATGTAAGATAATATCTAAAAAGAATGTAAATTAGAGACAAGACACTCCAAGAAAAACTTCTCCTAAAGCCGAGAATCGTACTCGGGATCAATACGCACATAATTTTTATCAATTTAATTTATCTTTGATTTGCAAAAATAAGGTTCGACAACAAAACTCGCCTAAGCTCCTTAACATAAGGTTTCTCACTCAACATAAATCTGACTGATCTTACTGAAGTAGTTTTCCTTAATTTTATTGTACCAATATGCCCTTATGATAGTACCATTAATTTTGACGCATAGTACAGAGGGGTATCCCTTCAGAAAATAGCAAAAAGTGCACTATATCTCTAGACAATAAAAATAAATGAATCTCTCAACAATGAAAAGACCAACGAAGCGTTTAGTCAATTCTCAAATCTCAATTTCAAATATAACAATCCCAGCATCATTTCACCATACAAAGACAAATAGCATGGTTGCCAGATTGTCCTTTACTGACTAAGCATAAAGGCCTTTCAAAATGTCCGATATTTATTTGAATATATTTAAGAAATAAATCCATATAATGATCCTTTATTCCCCATAATCACCGTTGGTAGAATGCTAAGCAGCTGATTTTAACATCTTATGTTTTTGCTCCTCTTCGTCGTAAAATCAGTACATCCGACAACCCTCCGAGCCGCCAAAACAACAGCGCATCGATTGGCGCGATTCTACCACCACCCTTGCAGATCACCTCAATCGCTGCGCATGCGCCTCAATCTTCTCAAAATCAATAGCGGAAAATTTGCATACGCCGTTTGCATACTGATTGCTAATCATGCGTGCTGGTGTCACCGTGCGATTGCTACTCCATAAAAAGGGCAGCGATAAAGCTGTTGCCTGCCGATGTTGTTCGCTGCGGAACAGTATAGAGTCATTACGTAAACATATGAGGCGATAGGGGGCTGTTAGTTGTTTTAATATAGTTTTTAGGGCAGGGCGGTTTCTGGGCAAGTTATTATATTGTTTCAAATTGTAGTAGATAGCTTACAATTTACAAGCTCCGTCCACCAACTAGATCCTCTCAAATCTGTCCAGTCCGACATGATCAAGTCTGAATGATAATACGGTGAAACGTAAAAATTACCTACTTACTGCTTGGTACCCGAAAAACGCTGTAAGAGTGGTTTTAGCCGCGAACTCATTGTCGATTTTGATATACTCAATTGTCGCGGCGAGTACCAAAATCTCGACCGTCAGCGTTACGTCGGCAACAGCGTGGCCTGCCATCCCGTCACTCAGCCTTTGACCGTTAAGCGATACAGATGTTTTATTTTGCACTAGCTGTTACCCGCGATTTCGTTTTCTATCATTGATTAGTAAACTGATGTCCAACCTACCTATTTGGAAAATTTGGTTTCTTTATTAGTAGCGTCATATACACGATCCACACATAAAACGGCGGGAAGAAAGCTAGTAGGCTATAAGCCCCTAAAAGGAACTTAGACAATGCTTTTCAAAAAGGTCCCCACTACTAGAAATAGAATGCTGAAATTCAGAAAGATGAAAAGTGAAAATTTCGAGATAGCGGCATCTTTTAAAAAGCAAAGTTGGTCATATGTAACGCCTTGCTTTGAAGCTCTCTTTCAGTACTTTGGAACCATGGAGTATTTCACTACCTTTCAAAATAACGGACTGGCATGTATGTATGAATGTATTTAGGTACCTATGTAACGGAATATTTGAACATAATTTTCACCAATTTGAAACATCTACGTATCAAGGACCGATGACGATGGAATAATTTGATAACAGTTTTCCATTAGGGCCTTCAGGATTGATAAATTTGTTTATAGATCCTCTGTAGGGGAATACGAGAGATCGAGCTAGCGCGCGATATGCGCATGCGTGCAGTTTCGGACTTACTCTTTGTAGAGACTTTTTCAAGGTAGTGCATTTTCACCTTGTTCATTCGACTATTTGCTCCAGGACAAGCTTATGTAGCACTTAGGGCCAATTTCACCAACAACAGTCCGTTATTCTCAACCTATAGGGTAACAGACCGTCAGATACAGCGAATGAGCTTCAAGTTCCAATCAACAAATTTTAGCAACCAATAGCTATGAAATGTTGAAAACAAGATACATTCAAAGTATGAGATGACAACTTGTCATTGAAATATCACAAGCTTATTGAATATTAAGAAATTACATAAATTCAGTCAAAATTTTAAGAAATGTTTGATTTTTGAATTAAATTCATGTTTTAATTACTATTGTTGATTTTTTATTCATGTTTATATTATTTTCTTCAATTGATATGTGATACTGTGTGTTTTTTCCTATAAACCTCTTGCAGATAGCCATTAAGCACCTACTTGATGACAGGCTCTACCAAAAGATATTGCTCGTTTCCAAACATTCATTCATTTACTTGCCCTTCATCAGAATCATTATGGCACCTTAGATTGATATTCCCACAAAATCATTCAGGTTTTATGATATCCATACATCCATAAAGTTGAATATTTTTGGTTGTTCAGGAACTGAACAAACATCCACACTATATTCACAGCGATTAAGAAATTCCCAAATATATGCCTTAAAGCTACCAGCAAACCTAAAACCTGCAAAAAACTACAAATTTGCCATATTTTTCTTTTTTCACGAGTACACATTCTAGGTTATATTTATATTAGACATTATTTGTATACAGCTGATTAATGAATTTCAAGGAGTGGCACATGTGTGGGATGTGTCAAATCTTGGTACCAGTCACAAAACATATACTCTGAAGGTTTAATTCCATGCTATTCAATGACAACACGGTGTTTTGTGTTTGTCAGCGGCCATTTTGTGAGGTTGCGACAGGGTTGCCAGAATGTGCATTCATATCCCGTTTCACCCTCCTGGTCCCAGTGGAGTAACTTCCGCCAACTGTTGAAATATACTCTACTATGCTTTATAAGACTATTCGTGACATTTTTCCCAAAATCGTTGCACAACACTTGAAAAAATGCAAATTAAAATTTAAAATTATTTCCATGACGCCGCAAAATAGCTCCGTCGGTACCTTGGGTTATACATCTTGACAGTAGGGATGTTCGATACGATCCTATATTTAGAAGTATCAATACATTTCACGAGTATCGAATCTATATTCTAGGGTTATAACGTACTCACAAAAAACTTCATAATATTGTCATTTTGACTCTTCAGCTGCCAATTTTACGTTAAAGTATAATATTTCTCCAGCCATTTGATCACCTTGAATTTCAGCTTGCTAACTTGACCTACAGGGTTATTATATAAGAAACCTATACAATTTATCATATACAAATTCTATGAAAGTAAAAAAACAATAAAATCTCAACTTGTTGACTAGGTCACTGCTAGCGTGTAAACATTTCATTCTGCGCCTGGTACAAGTGTGTCTGAAGTACCTAAATGACAGCTTCTTGCAAGTTGACATCTTGTAGGAAAACCTACATGCCATAAAAAGCTTCCGTATAAAAAATTCCTTTTGAAGGGCATTGTATATTCAAAGCATAAATATACAATTTGCATGATCTCTCTTATTTTTCTCCTTTGCTCTCCTTCCTTTCTTTCTTTGTTCTTCCTTTCTTTCTCCTCGACTCTGTGTGGTAGCTGGGCAACCAGACCTGACTGACTTACAAGACTTTAACCAATAGCAAAGGTCCTACGGACCGCTCGGATAGACAATGACGAATAGAGATCTCTCTTATTTCCAAATATCAATTTGTATTTACGATTTTGCAGACGGTGAATTATAGGTTATAGAAAATTAGTCACAAAAAAGTATAAACACAAATGCCGAATTCATTAGTTTTACTCACTAAAGCACAATATCCACGAAATGTACTTGACCGGTATGGAGGTACTTAGTGGTCTAGATCTAGATTCAGTCAACAGAAATAGGCAACATTCGAAAAAATAAAAAACTCAGAAAACAAATACACCATATAACAGCGAAACTTGAAGATAGCAAGAAAAATACTTGCATTAGGTGAAATTTGAGGGAATGATTGTATAAATATGTCTACCTATCCAAAACGTAAAATTCGCCTCACTTATCGGATAAATAATATAAACGTTTAATAAATTTCACCCTACCTTCATATGTCCCATTTTAAAAAAACGCTGACTTACCTGAAATCAAAAAAAGTTGATGAAATAAGAGAAATTGCAGTTCTATATTGAAATATTTCCAAAACATTTTGACAAGGGAGCAGGTTGATTCGAAGTCTGCACAAACATGAGACATAAAAAAGAGCCAATTAGGTTTTATAATTGCCCTTTGGTCCAGTACTCTCTGGAACTTGCACTGAGTAAAGCAATAACCTCGCTTACCAATACTTTCTACAACATTAAATTTTAGCGCGTTT